AAGGCCGGGCCGGGCCCGGGGGCCAGCTCGGCTGTCACGGCCATGCCGGGGGTGCCAAGGTGTGCGGGGACAAGGGGCTCCGGTCCTGCTGGGGCTGGGGAGCCTTCGGGCAGCATCCCCCACCATTCTCCGCTCCCGGCAGCGCTTGGCGGGCTGGAATCGGCCCCTTCTGTCGGCATCGTGAGCAAAGGAGGGGGGAAAAAAGAACCCTCCGAGCTTCAGGCCTTCGGGAGCTGGCCTGGTGACACACGTGGCGCCATTCTCCTCGGTTTGGAGCCGCACTCGGTCCCTCCAGCCGCATTCCCAAATCTCTCAGGCAGGGCTTTCCCCCTCTGCTGTGCTGCTGGGAGCCGGCTGAAGGTCGGTGCAGGAAGATCTGTGCGATCTGAGCTGAGAAATGCTGCAACAAGTCTCTGGCAGGGAATTCCAAGCGCTGGGGGTGGCTTTGCTTTAGCCCCTGAGAGGCTTTTTTCTCCATCCCGTCCTGCTGCTTTTCTCTGCGCACCTGTGAAGTGTAGGATTAGTATTTACCTGCTCTAAAGACTCCAAAATCCATTGCTGCCAAGCTCTGGGCAAAAAATCGAGGTGGCTGTGTCATTTTAAGAGGAGCCACAAAGTGATTTTAAGTTTTGGCCTCTCCTGCTAGTTGATTAATTCTTACCTTTTCATGAGGTGCAGCTGGGTTGAGGCTTGGTCCTGTCCCGTTCTTTTGAGTTGTGTGATGTGCATGTGTGTGTCCCCTCGTGGAGATGAGGTGTAGGGGGTGGTGGCCAGCTCCTGGGTCAGTGGCCATCCCCGCAATAACCTGGCTGGTACCTGCATCCCCTCACACCTGGGGTCTCTGAGCTACAGCGTGCACGTGGCTCCCCCAAACTTCCTCACACGTGTTCACCTCCGTGTCAAAAACCACGGGCTATTCCAGCATCTCCTGTAGGATCCTACAGGATCTCCAGGATCCTGCAGGATCTCCCAGAGGGAGAGGGGGGAGCCAAGTGCAGGGAGTTTCCCAGAGCAGGGCTTATCTCAGGGAGGTTCCTGGTGATAGGGAAGGAAGAATTGCCAGCACATCCTTAGCAGAGAGATGAGCTGTTCCCGCACCCCACGTCGTGCAGCCTGCACAGCTTTTCATCTGCAGCACAAACCAGGAGGACCCCTCACCTTCACAGCAGCTCCTTCCCTCCCCTTGCAGGTGGGGCATCCTGTTCTCCCACCCGCGGGACTTCACCCCCGTGTGCACCACGGAGCTGGGCCGGGCGGCCAAGCTGGCGCCGGAGTTCAGCAAGCGCAACGTGAAGATGATTGCGCTCTCCATCGACAGCGTGCAGGACCACCTCTCCTGGTGCAAGGTACGGGCTCTGGGGAGGCTTCAGGGGCAGCTCGTGCTGCTGCCTCACTGCAGAGAGCACAGGAAAAGCCCAGGCAGGTTTGGAGGCACGTGTGGCACACCCCAAAGCGTGGCGGTGCTGAAGTTCAGAGCAGGAATGGGGAAGGTCTTCTCCATCTTCATGGAGCACCCCACAAAGTCCAGGGTGCTCTGTGAGCTTTGGTGCAAGAGGAAAACAATGTTACTGCTGTCACACCGCTCGCTGAAAGGGTTAAAACGTGTGGAGGTGATGCCAGTGCCTCAGGGGAATCCAGACCCTCTGGAAGTTCTGTAATAAAAAAGGAAAAGAGGCATCAGAAGTGAGGAGGGAATTGCAGTTCATGCTTGGGCAAGGAGGAGAAAACAGAAGACAGAGAGATATGTTAAATATAATATGTTAAATAACATACATAAATTAAAAATAATTGTAAAAAATTACAATAATTACAATAATTTAATTTAAAATTAATATCAGTATTAAATTTAATATTAACAAATAATTAAAAATTGAAATATAACTTTAATAATTTATGTCTTAATGATTTAATTTTATTTAATTTCTTAATTATTAAAATGATAAATAATTATGTTGTATATTTTTATTTAATTTCTTAATTATTAAAATTATAAATTATTATGTAGTATATTATATATTGTATAATTATAAATTTATTTATAAGTGTTAATAGAGTAATAAGATTTATTTAATGATTTAATAAATATTGATATGTTAAATATAAGACATACATTAAATATAAAACCAGAGATAGGAGAACATTAAATGTAAAAATGAATGTGAGGGAGTGTTAAAAAAAAGGATGGGAGTGGAATAACTCGATGAAGGAACATGCAAGAAGCTAAAGAAATATTTCAAAGGCAGCAGCCTGTGTGTGCTGCCAGGGAGAATGGTTCCAGGGCTTGAGGTGGTAGGGGTCAAAAATGAGTAATACTAAAATGAGTATTTCAGACAGAAATGGCCATGAGTGAAAATCCTTAGGTGAATTACCTACCACTCTCTTAGCTCTTAAAATTAGGAATGTTCTCACGTATTTTCCAGGGATGAGAGGTGCAATAAGAGGCATTAAAAGCGAGAAATTTCTACACTTGGACGTTATTTCATGACTGAGTGGCTTTAGAAATTAACTAATTGCCTTATTGCTTAAATCAACCTTTGTACCTGCGTGGTGCATGGCCAATGTCCTCAGAAGGGCCTGGGAAAAGCAATGTGCAAATCCCAGTAAATGAGGTTTCTGTGCTGCTCAAACTGGCTGAAACCAGCAGTCAAATTAGCAAATTACATGTCATTAGACATAACAGAAAGTTTGCTTTGTGCTTCTGTAAGGAGACTTACCTGCTGGCTGGCTAAAGCTGAAGTGTGAGGGTGTTGCTGACTGCTGCAAAGGCTTTGAATTTGCAGCAAGTTTCCAATGAGGTCAGCATTGAAGGGCAGGCTGTTTCTTGCAGGAAAGCAGTAACTTGTGTCAAGGGAGGGAAGAGCTGAGCTCTCTCAGGGCCTGCAGGGGCTCAGCAGACTCAGGGGATCTGAAAAAGCCATGAACAACAAGCTGATTCTGCTGAGCCTGTGGAATTATTCAGCACTAGCGCAGGTGAAACCAGGAGAAGTTGCAGAACAGCCTCTGGATGCTGGCTGAGGGGAGGCAGAGCAGGAAAGCCTTCCAGAAAAACCACAGAGTGATTCAAGCTGTGGTGAGCTTTCTGTGAGAAACCTTGGAGACAGAGGTTTGCAAGTGTCAGCTCAGCACCTGTCAGAAAGAAACAGGTGAAAGTCCTCCAGAGCAAAAGATCCAATAGGTGAGGACAAATCCACAGAAGGCTGGAGTGTTCCACCAGCCTGTGTTTCACTGGATTGAACTCAGAAGTCCTAGGAGTGAGCAAAACTTAGGGCAGAACCCTCTGTGCAGTGTTCCCAAACACACCTCTGCTTTTTCACTAAGCTGATTTTACCTGGAGCACAGCCTGCAAGGAAACAAGAGGGCTGGCTGAAATCCTGCATGGAACAAGGAAGGAACTTCTGCTTGCTTTGCTGCCAAATTTCAGTGGGCAGACAGGGCCTGGAAAGGTGGGGATGGAGTGCAGCCAATAATCCTCGTGTCCCTTTGTGCAGCTGAGCTTTCCAGCCAGAGATGTCACAGCTATTCTTAGCCATCCCTAGCCAAAAAACAGAGCCTTGCTCCAGGAATGGGAAGTGTAGCTCAGCCAGGGGTTGATCCCAAGCTCCCCAGTCAGGAGGTTGCTGCTTCTCCAAGGGCTGGATGAATGGCTGAGCTCCTGGAGCAGCCCTGGCTGGCACAAGCTGTGCATGCCAGAGGTTTCAATGCTCTCCATGGCCACTGATAGCTGCACCTCGGGGAGCTGGTGGTGAATAAATCACTCTGGTGATGTCTGGTTTCAGCTTGGACTGTGGAAAGAAAATGAGTGACTAGGGAAGGTGTTTTATTGCAACACAGAGTGTGGTTTGTGAGGCTGTTCTCTAGAGCTCCCCATGTCATGAAATTACGTGCATTTTGGAACGAGTTACAGCCCATAGGATTCAGATATTGCTTCTCAGAAACTCTCTTCATCCTCCAGCCCCTGCTCTAAAGAGAGGGCTGGGTGGGTCTCATTTGCTGATGTCCATCTGTGGTCTTTCTCCTCAGCCATTTCTCCTCAGCTGAACTCTCCAGCTCTGCTTTCCTTCCCTGCTCTGCTCTGTCAAGGCAGGTTTGCAGGACAACAGAAGCCATTCTTTGCTTCCTTCCAAGGCCAGCCTGACCACAACCCAGCCAAGATCAGTGGCTGCTCTTTGCAGAGCTGTGGTGACACAGAAAGGCCTGGGGAGAAAACAAGCAAAGAGAGGAGCTGGAAAGGAAACATTTGGCCACGTGTGCACCACTTGACCTGTTTGCAGCATCCTGAGCAGCTGGGGCAGGGCTACAGCCCCTTTTGTCAGCACCAGCAGCCACAGGGGGCTCTGTTGGTGTTGGTGTGCTCTGAGCAGAGCCAAGGGGCAGCATTTCCATCCCTGCCCTCCCTGAATTCCCTCTGAGCAGGGCCCATCCTGCTCCCCCCCAGAAGGCAGAGATGTGTACACTGAGGTTATCAGCTGAGCTGATAATGCAGCACAGCAAGGCAGGCTCACAGCAGCATTGCAGTCAGTTTTGTCTCCTTGTAGCATGAAAAGGGTGGAAGGAACAGGCTGCCCTGTTCTGGGGCAGGAATTCTACTTGCTCTGATGCTGGCAGCTGCTCTGCCTGTGCTGCCTCCTCTGAGCAGGCTCCTCCCAGCGCTGCTGGGGCTCAGGGTGACCTCTGAGAGTGGTACTGCAGAACCCAGGGGTAATTTAAATGCTCTGGTCGAGTCCAGACCAGGTTTGGAGATGCTCAAAATGCATTTTTTTTTTGTATTTGTGAAGCAGGTCCAGTTTGGACTAGTACAGGGAGGAACCTCATAAACCATGTTCACAAGGGAGAGCCTGCAGGGCTGTGGAGGGGGATGGTTTTCTCTTCTGTGCCAGGCATGGCTCAGAAGAGAAACGATTCCTTAGGAGCACAGAGCAGTTCAGCTGTGACTCCAACACATCTGTCAGCAGTGCTAGATCCCGTGCTGGGAGAGAGCTGGGAGAGGGACACAGCTCTCAGTGAAAGGTGGTTAAACCTCTCTGTCACTGACACGGGCAGGAATTCCCTGCTGCTCTGTGCCCAGGCAAAGCAGCTGTTCCACGGGCTCTGAGCACAGACAGCCTAAGAACTGACCTCCAAGAACAAGGCACAGCCCAGCCTGGCACAAAGGTTTGTGGAAAGGTTTCTGGAAACTTCATGGAAGTCCATGAGCACCCAGCTGTGCTGTCCCAGCCTGAGACCTCCAGCCAAGCGAGGCGGGAGCTCCTGGATGCAGCTCCTGTTCCTGCCTGGCCTCTGTCTGTGGTGGTGCCACAGGAACACCCCATGGCTTTGTCTCTGCAGGACATCAACGCCTACAACGGGGAACAGCCTGCAGAGAAGCTGCCCTTCCCCATCATTGCTGACAAGAACCGGGAGCTGGCCGTCAAGCTGGGCATGCTGGACCCCGACGAGCTGGACAAGGACGGGATGCCCCTGACCGCCCGCGTGGTGAGTGCCTGTCCCACAGCACCAGTGCAGAACCATGGCCTGCCATCCTGCCCAGGGCTCTGGGGTGGTGTACCTGCATGGGCATGGCTGTCCTCAGGAGCTGCCATGACTTCCTTGGCCTGCAGCCATGGGTTGTGTTGGTGCCTGAAGTTCTGGCTTTTGTATTTCCCAGGTTCTGTAGTGCATTAGTAACTCTGAACTCCATATGAAGTGTCAGCCAGTTCTCCTCACAGCTCAGGCACACACAACAATCCTTTAACAGCCCCACAACCAAGGACACCGCTGCAGCTCCAGCCCCAAAAAGCACAAATAACAGCAAATTGAGGAGAGCAATCTGGGAGGATGGGACTGCATCACCTGGAGCTGTAATTTAGTAATTTACCCACTGTGTAAATGGACCAAAACTTATAAAAGTGTGAAAACTCGTGACTCAGAGTTCATTTTGGGTGTAGCCTTAGCCAGGCTCTTGTACTGCTCAAGGTGTATTCTTTAAAATGCTTTTTAATAAATACCTGCTTTATTCCTTTAAAGCCTCTGTTCCAGGCAGCCTCTCGAGACATCAGTGCCATGGCAGCCCACTGATCCTGGCTGTGCCTCTCCCAAAGTAATTTTTGTCAGTGCTTGGTTTGCTGGACTTTCCCTCTCCCCTCATGTGCTTGCACTAGAAGGGCACAGGTAGCAAAACAAGCTGGAGTTGAACACAAGAGCTCCCAGAGCAAAACCACATTCCCTGGGCATCAGTTGTTCTCTAGATCCCCTCCATGGCATCTCCCCTGTCCCAAAAGCTGTGATCAGGCAGCTCCCAGGAAAGGAAGGAGCATCAGGGCTGAGCAGGAGTCAGACAAGCATGCCCAGCCCCTGACACTGTGTCTCCCTGTGCTCAGGTGTTCGTTTTTGGCCCGGATAAGAAGCTGAAGCTCTCCATCCTGTACCCAGCCACCACTGGGAGGAACTTTGATGAGATCCTGAGAGTGGTGGACTCCCTGCAGCTCACAGCTTACAAGAAGGTCGCTACCCCTGTGGACTGGAAGGTGAGGAACAGGGCAGAGCTCACAGCCAGGCACTGGAAACAGGCATGGAAATAGCAGCCAGGCTCCCTTGGAGGGTGGGGGAAGCAGCAGCTGGAGCCTCTGAAGGTTCCTGTTTCCTGCAGCAAAAGCTCCAGTGAATAGTGGAACATAAGCACAATCAGGAGCATAAGCTATAATATAATATTAATTATAATATTATATAAATATAAAATTATGTTTATATATTATATATAAAATATAAATATATGAATTATATAAGTGATAATAGACTATTAATTATAATATATTCTGTTAACATATATGTATTTATTATTATATATAATATATTATTAATATATAAATGCAATATAATATTTATTATGATTATATATTATTAATATTTTATTAATATATAGGCTATAATAGTGGAGCATAAGCATAATCAGGAGCATAAGCTATAATATAATATTAATTATATACGCTACAATATGATATCATATTATTAATATATAAAATATAATATTAGATTTATTATAATTATATATTAGGTATGTGCTGTACTATTTAATATATTTTTATATTTATTATATGTGATATTAATATTTTATTAATGTATAGGCTATAATAGTAGAGCATAAGCACAATCAGGAGCATAAGCTATAATATAATATTATATAAATATAAAATCATATTTCTATTTTATATTTATATATATAAATAATATATAATAGAATATTAATATATTGTTTTAATATATAATATATATTTATTATAATTATATTTAATATTATTTATAGATTATAATATATAAAATATTTATTATTATTAATTATATTATTATTATATTATGTTATTAATATTTTATTTATATATAGGCTATAATAGTGGAGCATCAGCATAATCGGGAACATAAGCTATAATATGATATCAATGTATTACATTATCAATATATGACATATATATTTATTATATTTAATAATATTGGTATATTTATAATATCTGATATATTATTTTATTTTTATAATTATATATTATGTTAATAATATTTTATTTAATAATAGGCTAGAATAGTGGAGCATCAGCATAATCAGGAACATAAGCTATAATATGATATCAATATATTACATTATTAATATATGAAATAAATATTATATTTAATATTATTGGCATATTTATAATATCTGATATATTATTGTATTTTTATAATTATATATGATGTTAATAATATTTATTTATATATAGGCTAGAATAGTGGAGCTCCTTGCTGTTCCCACAGGAGTGCTGTGGCTGTGGGATGCCATTGGCAGGGCTGGCAGATGGCACAGCTCTCCCTCTGGACACCTCCCATATCTCCTGGTGTAGCTCCCCCTGTGCCCTCACTGCTGGCACCTGGGGACATGCCTGGGGACAAGGGCAGTGCCACCTGTGTCCGTCCCTGCCCGCTCCTCACCGTCCCCACTTGTCCCCATTTGTCCCCAGCCCGGTGACAGCGTCATGGTGGTGCCCACCTTACCTGACGAGGAAGCCAAGAAGCTCTTCCCCAAAGGAATCTTCACCAAGGAGCTCCCGTCGGGCAAGAAGTACCTGCGCTACACCCCGCAGCCAGAGTGAGGGCTGTCTGTCCGTCTGTCCGTCCTGCTGGGACGCCAGAGCCTTCCTGAGCCCGGCTCCTGCCCCTCTGACACAGCCTGGCACCGTCACGCTGCTGGTGCGGTACTAAACCAGCCCTCCTGTCCCTTCCACCCCCAGAGCTAACCCCGGCTGCGTTCCTGCCCGGCAAGGACGAGATGAGCAGAGCACTGGGGACTCTGGGGCTGCTGCTCTGGTGTCTGTCCCGTGTGGTCCCAGCCAAGCTTTTCCCAGGGCTGTGCTGAGAAGGGGTGTCCTGCTGGGACAGGGAGCTTTGGGGGCTCCAAGCTGCTGTGTGCCTCTCAGAGCAGCCATCTAACCTTTGGTCCCATGAGTAGGGGAGGAGCTGCAGAGCCAAATCTCTCACTTCTTAACTGCTTTCTCATCTCTTGCTGGAAGGTGATTGTTTTCAGGTTTTGTGGAAGAGGGACTCGAGCAAATAAACTGACCTTCAGTACTACCTGCAGTGTCCCTTGTCTGTCTCTGCTGGCCCCCAGGGCACCCTGCAGCATTTTCTGTGTTCCCTGTGGCCACGCAGCTGGGATTTGTGCCCAGGCTCTGGAGGGGGTGGCAGCAGCACAGGCTGCCCTTGTTCTTGCTCTGCAAGGAAGGCATTTTGGAAAGACAGGTTGTGCCAGGGCACAGAGTCTCAGACAAAGCACTTGTGCTTCCCCTGCTGGGAAGGAAGAATGTGCCTCAGCCTGGCCTGCCCTTGGCTGCTGGGTCCAGGCTCCTTCCCTGCTCCTAGGGCATGAGCAGGCAGGACAGGAGCCCTGCAAACTCCTGCCTGCTCTCCCACAGCTCCATCGCAGGGATTTGTCAAGAGATGAGCAATGTTTTAATATAACAGTAGGGAAGAAAGCTCATGAATAGCGCAGAGGGTGGCTGCCAGCATCCCTCAATGCCCAGCACAGCCAGCAACGCTCAAAAGGAGCAGCTGTTAAATAAATCGTCTTGGGGCACAAATGGACACCCCCAGCAAGTGGCAGGTTTGATGTTCAAGGTGAGCAATGCTCCAGATTCAGTGAGATCCCCCCCTCCACACTAAACCTCAGGCAGCACCCACAACCCTCTTTCATTACCCCTCCCCCCCATAAAAAGGGGGTTTATTAATTTTTAATTACCTTCAGGAACTATAATACAACAATATTCACTGTGCAGTGAATATTGTATTTCCCCAAATGGCTTTTAAATGAACCTTTGTTATGAAACTCCGTATTATTCCCATGTATTATTTTGACTGGAAGACAGGAACAGTTGGTCTCTGGGCTGACTTTTGTTCTCACTCTTGCACTCTGCAAGAAAGGGCAGGGGGAATCTACAATTTCCAAAGGGAAACATCTTTTTTTCTGTGTAGCTTTCCTAGTTCCCGTGGCTGGGTTGCATAAACTCCTCGGTTTCTTGCTGTTCACTCACTTTGATCTGGTTTCCTAAGGGAAAAAGGAACATCTGCCCACTCCAAGCTTTCCAGTTTTCTGGAAGTTTGAGGACACAGCCCCATGGCAACCTTTGTGCAAAGAGCCTGATCAGAGGATCCCCCAGGGAAGGGAACTGCAGGGCCAGCACAACCTCTCTGGGCCACCACAGAAGCCACCTGCAAGTCGGGACAAAGTGGAACAAATCCTGTCACCAGACCCAAGGGCTGAAAGCCAGCAGGGACAGCCACTGGTGCCATTGCTGAGGCAGGCAGGGGCTGACTGAAATTCCATGAATTCCCATCTGTTCCAAGTGCTGCCATGGCCCCAGAGGTACAAACCAGAGAGACTCAAGCAAACACAAGGTTTGGCTCCGGTACAGGTCGAGTAGTTTTCTTTTAATCCCAGAGAAGTGAAATGCAACATTTTTCCAGTTGGTAATAACATCCAGAGACAGAAGTCCAAGCCCCCTACTCGGTAAAGTCATTTGTGTTTAAGGCACTCTGCAAAACCAGCTTTCCTCTCTCTCTGATTTTCCCCACGCGGCAGCAGAATACCTGGTTTGGTCTGTTCTCCGTAGTGACATTCATCCATCCTGGCTCCTCCCGCCCTCTCCGGGAGCCGGAGACAGCAAATCCAGCGGGAGGAGCACCAGGAGGCCGGGTCAGTAAACAGGGATGGGCACGGGAGGGAGCACCAAGGGGGCTCCCAGCTTCTGCAGGGAGGGGGTGAGCACCGGGTGCCCTCCCTGCAGGCACCGGTGTGGCTCCCCTTCCTTTCTCTCCCCCACAAAAAGGGGATGGGAGCCTGGGGACCCACGAGCATCCCTCCCCAGAGGTGCTCCCAGCAGCACCCCAAAATGCAGGAGGCTGGGTGTGGGGGAGACCCAGCTGCCCCCACTGTGCAGCAGAAATTACCACCCCACCCCAACCCCCCCAAACGACTTCCAGTTGTCAATAAATAGCAATAAATAACTTAAATAAATAAATAGATAAATAAATAAGTGACCCGAGGATGGGAAGGAGGGGAAGGGGCACCCCGAGGCTCAGGGCTCCCGGGAGCGTGGGCATTTGCATGAGCTGCCCCTCCCTGAGATAACGGGGTGCTGGTGGGGAAGGGGGGCACAGGGAAAGCATCCCATGGGGTGAAGCCCAGGGGTCTGAGTGCTCACCCAGCCACAGGGAATGAGCCAAACTCAGACTCCAACATGGGAGCTCTCCCTCACCACCTTCCCTTGAGCACCACCACCCCCAGAGCTCCACCTCCACCCAGGTGTGAACACGCACCCGCGCAAAATGCCCGCACCTTTCTGTAAACGCTGTTTGCACGGGTTTCTTTGCAAACAATTTTCACAAACTTTTTCCTTTTCCCCTTTCTTTTTTAAAGGGGAAATGCCCACAAAGACAACCCACGCACCAAGCCGAGTTAAGTGCATCAAATGCAGCTGTCAGAGGAGCGGGAATGGAAGCCTGGCAGAAACCTGGAGAGATGAACACAGGCATGGCCCCGGGGCTCAGCCAACACCTGCCTGCAGGCTGGGGCAGCCCTCGGGGGTCAGGCACACGGCTACAGCCAGGCACGGAGCCTGACCCTGGCACCAGGATGTTGCAGACATTCATGGACAGAAATTCAGCTGCTGCTGTCTCAGTAGCCACGTGCCAAGGCTCAGACTGGCCAGCAAGTCCCAAAAGGTGGCAGTGAATTCAACAGCATCCCTGCAGCGGTGTCCCCACTGTCCCAGACAACTGCAGCCACAGCAGCTCCCTGGGCTGACAGCAGCATGCAGCCATTTCCCGTGGGTTTTGGGGAGCTGGCTCACACAGCCTCTGGACACAGCATCCTCTCCCAGCAGGAAGCCCACCTCGGAGCTGCCTGTTTGCTGGGGAACCCCTTCCTCTGGCGTTTTAGCTCCGATGCTGCCAGAGATGTTTCTGTCCCCTCCCCGGATCAAAAGTATATACCTGCCTTACTTCAAATCAAAAGGTACTTACCCCTCCTCCCCCAGTCCTTAAGGAAAATTGAAATTCAAGTTTCTAACCCCTCTCCACACACACTTTTTGAGAAACAAAACATCAGCGATGGCAAAAGCCGCCATCCATCCCACACCAGGACAAAACCACAGGCTCACAAGAGCAGGACATCTTACACACCAGCAAGCTCCCTGTGGGAGCTCTGCTGCAGAAAACACAGCAAACCAAAGCTCAAAGCCCTCTCTCCCTCCAAACCTGCCCCACAGCAAGGCTGTAGCCCCTGCAAAACCCCGACATAGGCACAGAAAGCAGCAGGTTCCCAGCCCAGTGTGGGGCCGGGAGGGAGGAGCAGGAGCGCCAGCCCCGGCACAGGGAAATGCTGCACCAGGGCGACAAAAGGAAACGCTCCCGGATGAAAAATAAATAAAGAACTGGATCAGCAGCAAACACTACTGAGGGCAATAAATAGCACGGGGATTTCACAGGGATTTTTGGTCTAAGATGCCTGGGGAGCCCCTGTGCAGGCGGGGCCCGGGGTGCACGAAGTGTCACCCAGCGCTCCTCCCCAGGAGCCAGTGGGACATGGGACCTTCCCAGCGGGAATGACCGGCATCCCCAGGGCGGCACAATCCCCCCGCAGTGTGCAGAAGGCAGGGCTGCGAGCTGGAGGAGCTGCAGGGCTCGTGCTGGGGAGGACAGAGCAAAGAAAGCAGCAACAGCTGTAAACCACCTGCTCAGGAGCAATGGAGCACCCAGAGCAGCAGCAGCACAGCCATGGTTTATGCCTCTGCTGCAGCTCCAGGGTGAGATCCTGGGAACTGCCAGCTGCATCCCACAGCACTGTGCTGCCCTGTGGACCAGCTGATGCCAGCCACCCAGGCAGCAAGGAGTGAGGAGAAAGGCAAATAAATCCCCCTGTAGCCCCTCCCAAGCATGGCAGCAGCAGGAGACAGCCCCCAGGCAGCACATTCACCTCCTCCTGCTCTGAGCAGCTTCCACTCACATCCCTGCCTTCCACAGAGCTTGGGGAGTTACCGCAAGGAGTGCTGTCCCCTGCACTGGTGGCCCAGCCAGTAGCCACCCTGCTCCATGGGTGGCTGGGGAAGAGGTCTCTGTGTGAGCCAGCATTTGCGTGGAAAATGAGCGAGCACCCAACCTCTAGCGAGGGAGCGGGGTCTGCAGTGAAGCAAAGCGAGTCCAGGGGTGCCTCTGAGCTGGTTTGGGTACCACACACACCCAGAGCACCTGGGCTGGGAGAACGGCACCGCTCCCGATTTCTCACTCGGCTGAGACGCGGTTCTGCTTCCGTGAGAGAAGGGTCAGCGCGACTTGGGAGGGGGAGGCTGAGGAACTGCAAAGACTTAGTGCACCTTAAACCAAAGGACATCTAACCTGCCCTTAGACCTCACTCCAAGACAGAAAAGAGCTATGGCATCTCCTACACTCACAACTACTCCAAACACACCCAGACGCATGCAAAACGTGTCCCGCTCCCTCGGGGCTGAGGAAAACCCCTCCCGGGCGGTGACACCGGGCTCTGCTCTGCCCGCTCCCGCCCGGTGCCAGCGGGCAGGCGAGGGGTGGATCATCCATCTGAAATGCATAGGTATGGACATGGCAGGGGACAGCAGGCACAGCCTCCGCTTCTCCCTCCGGCTGGGTGGGAAGCAGCGTTTGCCACAGGCACGGTTCAACCACACTCGTGCTCCTCGCGCTGCCCCGCAAGGAAAGACGAGTCCTTTATGTCAGACAGCCTCTGTGCCAGCTGCAAGTACTCGATTCCTGGGAAATCCTCCAGCTCAGCAAACCTTCTTCTGCACCCTTGTGCCAGCCAGGCTCTATTTCTGACCGAGGAGGAGCCACGTTTGCAACCACAACAACAAAGGCAGGAGAAGCCGAGAGATCTGCTTTGGCTCGCAAACCCTGTTCGTCTGCAGCGGGCTGGGGGCACCCAGGTCCTCACCTGCACGCCCTACTTGGGGGGTATCACCACTATGGGCTGCCCTCGCTTGGGTCTCCACATGAGGACCTGGGCGTCGTTGGCGTTGGGCTTCACTAGTGCGTTTGGTGGGATGGGCTCCATCCTGCTGAGGATCCGCGGCTGCTCCTGCTGAGTCCTGCCCACCAGCCGCGCCCGCTGCCCCAGCAGCTGCATGGGGTCCACCTCAATGTCCACTCGCATCCTCCACTTTATAGTCTGCAAGATGATCTTCTCCTTGGTGGTCGTGTTCATGGCCACGAGCCACGTGGTAAAGCTCTGGTCCCTTTTAATCCTGGTCAGCAGGGGCACGTTGCTGTTGCTCACGGGGACGGCCCACGTCACGCTGGGGTAGAAATTGTCGTTCATGCTCACCGAGAACCTGGAGATCTTGTTGGTGGGCCCGACCAGGGTGACGGTTTCTGTGGTGTTTCCATACCAGGGGTAGCTCACCCCATCCGAATCGCTGATGGCTTTTACTCGTCCTTCTCGCAGGTCGGGCAGCTCCCAGCTTGACCTGGTGAAGAGGAAGAGGAAGATGAGAGGGGAAATGGCAGCAATGGTGCCTGGCGAGGGATGGGGAAGCCAGCAGCACAGGGACCCTCTGCCTGCCTGCAGAAAACTCTCAGGGACAACCTGAAGAACAAATTCAGCTTCAGCTCCTTTACTGAAACTCACACGTCCAGCTCAAGCCTTTGCTCTGCCAGCACAATGCCATGGTAATTAACTTGCAATTAAACTGACTGGGCCAAAACCCACTGCTGAGTCTCTTTGGGGTCACTATCTCCTTAATCAGCTCCTGTGCTGGAGGACAGCCGGGGTTACAGCAGCTCCCGGTGCCGGGGTTACAGCAGCACCCGGTGCCGGGGTTACAGCACCCAGTACCGGGGTTACAGCTCCCAGTACCGGGGTTACAGCAGCACCCGGTGCCGGGGTTACAGCAGTACCCAATGCCGGGGTTACAGCAGCACCCGGTACCGGGGTTACAGTACCCAGTGCCGGGGTTACAGCAGCTCCCAGTACCGGGGTTACAG